CATGCAGGGAGGAACTCTTTGTGATCCAAATCTTTCAGTTTTAAGGGAAACCTCAGCAAAACAATAGTGACTTAACACAAGAAAATGGAATTGGCCTCAAAGGAAATTTAAGCTGTGCAGTTCCTAGACTCTAGATCTTCCTATTCCCACTATAATGAAGCACAGGAACAGGTGACAAGTTTATGCTCCTTGTTTTGGGCTTTCTAAGTAAGCTCCATACAAGATGCTAATGGCTGTGATGTCTTGGGACCAATACTGGCACATTAATTCCTATTTAATTCCACTAGAATTAATAAACTAAGGAGCTGTTGATAAAGCAGACAGGAGATTTTGCAATATTGTTTGTGTCCTGACATGTGTCTTTTCAGTGGAAGACTGTCTGGGTGGGAGACTCAAGAGACTGTACTGATGTATTGCATCAACCTCAAGTCACCTAGAAGAAAATAAATCATTTCTAAAAGGAACTGATTTCACAAACATCTCCAAAACAGACAATGCTGAGTTTTAGTTACTCACTCATGTGCAGGGAGAGCACATTCAGGGCTGGTTCTCTTACAGCTGTGAGTTTTTAGCTGCATGTGCTGCCTATTAGTTGTCATTCAGCAGCAGCATCAGGTTCAAAGGTTGATGATGATTTACCAGGAGAGCTCCCCAAGGCTGCTGAGCTTACAGAATCATTAAGTTGGAAAAGACCTCTAAGATCATCAAGTTCAAGCTGCAGATGAAGAACTCCCCCATGGTCCAGAAGTCAGAGGCAAAACCACCAAGGTCAGGGGGATTTTGACCCTTGCCAAGGCTCAGCTCTCTGTGCTTGGTGCTCTACACAACTCTAGGTAGCCTAAACATCTCTCATCCCTGGTCCTGCCTGCCAGACCTGCACAAACCTCTCTCCCACCTCTATGAGGTCCTTCATCTCTGCCCCCACACAAGGCCGATGCCCCAGGTGAAACAGGTTGTCTGGGCACAAGCTTTGGGAGCTTGGCATCCATAGGAAGGGACTTGGTGACATCCCTAGATGAGGCCAGTGGAGCCCCAGGAGCTGAGTCACCTGCTCTGTCCCATCCCATCTGCCCAGTGCCTCCAGCTTGGCCATACCACTCAGTCCCAGTGCTTTCCCCAGGTGATGCCCTACCTGGTAGTTGAATCCATTGGATCCCGTAGCCTGCAAGTACAAGTAAGACTCATACAGCTCCAAGAAGCAATCACAGACCTCCTGCAGAAGAGACACATTTTGGGGGTTATCTCAGGACACTTCCCTCCTCCCAACTTCCCTCTGCATCTCAGGGTGGTCCCTGCACAGAAAAGCTTATCCAAGGGTTACCACCTCATCTCTGCTGGTGCATCTGCTGCCAGCCCAGCAGTGGAGCATGGAAGCACATCCCAGGTCCCCACTGGGATGGGAACAAGGTGGGCACCAGCCAATACCTTTGTACCATGGGCTGTGCAGTAGCCCAAGGAAGTCTCCATGAGCCACATTCCCAGAATTATGCTTTATTTCCCAGTCCTACAAGATCATGCCACTCCTGGGGAGAGAAAACCCCCAAAACAGGTGCCTCAGTTTTACCTGGCAGTGCTGGAACTTCAACTTGACCTTGGAGTAATAGATCATTTTGCCTTCATTTCTGAAAAGGTTATTCCTTTGTCCCTTCTTGAATGGGCTGGAGAACCTCTGGTCCAGGTTTTCTTTCTGGTTTTCCTGGTTCTGAATAATCTGTACCAAGGACACAGGGAAAACAAATCAGAGGAGTTGGGAGGTGATGTCTGGAAGAGATGTTCCCAGAACATCTTCCCAGAAGGGATTCCTTGGAACCTTTCCTGGGCAGGTGCTCAGGATGGGCTGTTTGTTGTTGGGTTTCCATGTCAGCTTGGAGCTGGAGTTACTGCTGGGAGGAGATACTGAGCTAAAGGAGTTTCTGGGTTGGGAAAGAGGGGAGGCAGTGGCACATCCTACAATATAGGATGTCCCAACTCCATGGATGAACCTCCTACCACCATCCTAATCAATTCACTGGAACAGGGATCAATGGAGGCTGAGGAAACACCTCTGCTGGGGTTAGTAGGAAGAGGTTTTTTGCTCTAGTTCCACTTGGATTCCTCAGCTCTCCCACCTGCTCAGATCCCTGGGTTTCTCTAGGTGGAATCTGTTATTCCAGGCCCCAGACAATTCTGGGGCAGAGCCTCACAGCCATGAAAGCACCTGGAAGGGTTTGAGTCATGAAACTGCTCAGTGCCAGTGCAAAAAGCTTGGAAAAGCTTGGAAAGCCAACAAGCACTGCAGGAGAGGCAGAGCTGAGGAGAGGAAACAGCACTCATGTCTGGGATCTTCCCTGATTTCCTGCTTATATGAGAATTCTTCCTTCTGTGCAGTGGCACAATCCCACCCCTCTATGGGCACAGCACTGCTCCCAGCCCAGGGCTGCTGCACTGCCTGGATACTACATGAATCCTGGGGGGAAAAGCTTTTCCTGCAGCTTTTCTGGGAAGGACACTTTGATTTCCAGGAGTTCCCTGGGGAAAAGGGAAGGGCTGTATCTCAGCCACTGATTCCACCAAGCCTACACACTCTGCTTGGATATGACTCTGCTTGACACACACAATGTCCAGGTAAAGCAAAAGTGAAAGGGAAGTGGGAAGGTTTGTAGTGATCCCTGGGGTTCAGAAAGAGCATTTCCAGGGCTGAGCAGGGACAGAGCTGCAGGGGCTCAGCAGGAGCAGTGACAGCCCATCACTCCCAGAGCTTCCCCTGGCTGGAGTGTGCCTGCTCCCAGTGCTCTGTGCCAAGGAGACAGCTGCGTGTGCCCATGATGAATGAGGAACCAGCAGAGCTCACCAGATCTGTCCTGCTGGGGCCTCCATGACTCACCCCTCTGGCATGAGGTTAACCCCTCTCCCAACCATCCCAGGGACTGATGAACCAGTAACAGGAGCCTCAAGCTGTCAGGGCCCTTTCACCTGCAAAGCTTGGGGTTCCTTCCAGGGCCTCACTGAATTTAGGTTACTCTTTTTAGGACATGAGTTAACCCTTTCTCTGCTCAAATCCTCCCAGGCATGGAACAGAACCTAGGGAAGCTGTTGGCTGCCCATTAAAGGTCTCACAGTGTAGGAAAAGATTCTATATGTGCCTGAAGCCACAGTCAGAGCAAAAAGCAACTGGACTCCTGCCAGCTGGGGCAGCAATAGCAAAGCAGTGCTGGGAGAAGAGCAACCAGGGAGTGGGGAGAGGATGAAGTAAGGAGATTATGGGCACAGAGATAAGGAATAACAGCAGCTACCAGGGTGAGCTGCCTGGGGTAGGGCAGCAAGATTTCCCAGGGGCAAATAAGGCACCAAGGTGGTAAAGTAACCTGGGAGCTGGGAATTCAGCAGTAGTGTTGGCAGAGAGCTCAGCAAACCCACCAGCTTCCACAGGGATCCTCCTGTGGTCAGGAGGCAGAGGGAGAGCTTCCATGGGCACTGTTTGCATAGAAAGAAATAAAGTGGCACACTTGCCTCTCCCAGACAAAGATCTAACAACCCCAGCTCAGGAGGGTTTGCAGTGAGGCTGAGAAAACAGCTGGATTTAATGGCTAAGCATGGGAAGAACTCCAAGACCATGGACAAAACAGGATCAGATCCCTGAAATCTGCTGCCCTTCCAACTGCAGGCTCCCAGGACTCATGCATCCCCAAAACCATGGGAATGCCTCAATGTGCAGCCAGAACTAAAAGGAATGAGCATTTATCCTTCCTCTGGGATCCTCCCCAGCTGACTCCCCTGGCTGTGCTGTGCTGGGGCCCAGCACTCTCCTCCCCCAGCCCCATCCTGCCCAGTCCCATTCCCGTTAGCTCAGCGGTTCCAGGCAGTGCAGATCCTTGGAAACCTGATTTTTCTCCCAGGGTTTGGCAAGGCAAGGGAGCTCTGGCAATGCAAGTGCCCTGACATGTTCTCTCTCCCCTTGTCTCAGATGCCTCATCCTACAGGTAGAGCAAGTTACTAATTAAGCTGCCTCAGCCCCTGCAGACCCCAGTGACTCGGGGCTGAATCACTAACCTGCAGCAGGAAGAGCTCAGCCATGCAGGGCTGGTGCCCTCGGGGCTCTGAAACCTGCTGTTTAATGATAAAAGCAGCAAATGAGAGGCACAGCTCTTCTGGCACATCCTCCCCCTTTGCTGTTGCTGAGGTTCCACAGAAGCCACAACTGGGAAGTGTGGGAATTAGGGCAGAGGTTTGGTGGGAGCACATTGCTGCTCCAGGCAGGGACCAGAGGGGCTGTTTTCCAGGGATGTCATCCACCCCAGTCCCAAACTGCCAGGCATGGCCAGAGGTTTGGTGATTCCATCTCATAGAATCAATAGAGATCAAAGAGAAGGTCCTGGAGGTTTTTCATGAGCTGTAAAGCCACAGTTGGACTTGTACAGGTTTGAAAT